AGCTGGTAGTGGACATGACGTTTGAGGGACCTCTTTCCTGAAGGAGGATCTCTCTGTTGCATTGGCAGCAGGGAAATCTCCTCACCATACACATTGTGTGGCAAAACAGGAGTCGGTCTAAATCCGGCATCACTCGCAGTTACTGCCAGTTACTTTCAGAGTTCCAAACCGAAAATCATTCCTGCATATTGAAATGCAAGCTGCGATGTTCAGAAAGCAGGCCTGAGGTCAACAGGAATGGCAGCTGAGGGCAAGACTCAGACTAGGGCAATTAAGTAATTTCTACCAAACAGGTACAGTGGCATACTAATTGTTTTTGTATAAAAGTAGTTCTATTCTGGGAGAGGAGTGAGCAAAGGTGAGAAATGCCAAGCGTGTGAACTAGGAGTAGTTCTCGGGCTGCACTTGATCCTTCCCACCCGTGGAGCATCTCTCCCTCGCCCCTGCCATTTCTACCCCTTTCTCCTGCTCATTCTCACTGGTGGTTGCTCATGGAGCTTGTTGCTTCTGCCAAAACAGGGGTGCAAGAGTGCCCCGCCACACCGAGGCTTAGCCAAGGGAAACACCGAGTGCTAGAGTGATTGCCTTCCTCCTTCCTTGCCCCACTTCTTCCCATGCCATTGTGAAAGCGCTCCGACTTTCCCACCTAGATGCTATTGCAGGCTGCAGTTTGATCTGCGTTTAGATACAGACCTGTTAGGATAGACGTTTATTAAATAGCGCTTCTACACAACGTGTACCCTGGTATATGGCTCAGCTGTAGGCATGGATGTTTTTTTCTAGCAGCAGCTCGTTTGTCCAGGTAGCTTACAGTTTCCAGGGAAAGGTGCAGTACGGAGGTTGGTTTGTTCGTGGTCGATTCTGATGTCGCGCTTTGATTTTACATGGTTGAATGTGCACATGTAGGGAATATATTTCTTGAGAGAAGGAGATCTTCCTTACCTGTAGAAAGCAACATCTGTTTTCCTGGACAATACAGCCAGGATGAGAACATAAGACTAGCAGATACAGCCAAGTTCAGGTTTTAGTAGTAAGCTAAAACACCGAACTAGCCTGGGTTTGGGTGTTTGTGGGGTTTTTTTTTTTGTTTTTTTGTTTTGTTCTTTTTTTTAACCAACGCCTGTAAAATGTATCTGATCATTCTTTGCTGACTTACAGAAGGAAATGGTTAATGTTTGCGTATGTTGCTAAACAAGATAAGATGCACCTGCAGCATGAATTCCCATCTTGGTCATGAATGCAGCCTGTATCTTTGCAAACTAATCTGTTTAATCAAATATGAAGTTTTATTCAAATTCTGAAAGAAACAGACAGCGAATTGTTTTTCTGCATGGTCTTCCTTTGTCATGCATCCGCTTTGCATCTCAAGAAAAATAGCCTTGTTCAGTCCCAAAACATTTGCATAGATCAAAATCGAAGCACAACAGTAGTTTGTGTGCTGTTAAGACATCTGTAAAGGTGAAGAAGTTTAGCATGCTCTCCCTGGCAGGAGGGCTTTAAAACATTAGTGAAACTTTCTAAAATTTTTTTTATTTTTAAACAGAATTCCAGTCCAACTGGAATAAGTTTCACAGTCCCAATATGTGGAAGCTATAATTAGTGAATTACAACATTTTGAAATGAGGAGTTATTACATCTGACTAGAATTAAACTAATTAAACTTAAAAAAAAAAAAAAAAAAAGAGATTGTATAGCAAGCTGGATAACTCCATGCTGTTGATAAAACCTGGGTGATGAATAAATACTTTCCAGCCAGCCCATTCTTTGGAGGGTCTTGAAGATGCTCTGAGATACAGCTATTTGGAGCTTTGCTGATTAAAAGCACCCGAGGTGTAACTTAAGGAGCAGCTTGGCTTTGCTAGTGCAGATTTTTTACCTGATACAGCCTATTCTTACCTCTTTTCCTTCAGCTCAATACATGTGTGGGCTAGAAAAGCCTGTTAGAGCATTTGTGGGGGCTCAGGCTGAGAGCAACAGGAGTGAAAGATCATCTCCACTGAAAAATATTTTTGCAAAAGAGGGGAGTTACCTGGGAGCATTGAAGTGCAAATGAGTCAAATGCTGTGCAATGCCACCCCTCTGCTGCTTCTCCAGTTAAAACACACAAGAGCGTGTATCTGGTTCGTTCCCAGTCTTTCACTTCCCATTTCTTAGCGTTTTGCCTTTTTGCTGCTGCGTTAGGTGAGGCTACGTTGTTCTGTGTAAGTGCACAATGCTGAGACTCTCAGGTTGTTTGAACACCACTTTAGGTTCAGCTGCAGTACACTGTTCCTCTGATCTTTTATGTTCCTGAGCAGATGTCTTTCATTAATTTATGGATTTATCATCTTTTCTTTCTCTCCTTTTTTTTTCCTTTCCTTTTTTTTTTTTTTTTTTTTACACCTGGCAGCTGGCTCAAGTTTCAGCAGTTATTGTCTATTTTGCATTACCCATAGAATTGAATGTCATCTGTCTTCACAAAGCTATAGCTCAGAGAATTGAGGCAAGCCACACGAGCTGCTGGGACAGAGCTTGTTTGCGTTCCGTTCGGCACCCCTCCTCCCTTTACCTCCTTAATATTTATTTGTGCTCGTTTTCTTTCCTGGCCTTGAATGGGGCTTAGCTCGTGTTCGGTACAGCTGTATGTTTACTGAATCTATTTCATCATGAGTCATTGTGCGTGTGTAAGTATCCTGGAAACAGCTAGTGCTTTCTTGGAAGAACAGTTGCTTTTCAGCCCAAGCACTTAAAAAGGAAATTAAGCAATTGGTCAGTTCAGTTTTTTTCTGAAATAGCAATGGGTTATCTAATTCTTAGCTCTTAAGTCTGTCATTAACTATTTTTTGCTAGATTATTACAGATCATATCTTTTATCACAGTAAAGCGTTAACCTTAGGATCAAGATATACAGATTTGTTGCTTATTTGGTATCGCTTTAAGGCTGCCAAGTGCTTAAGAACAAGTATAATTTTAATAAAAAATGGATTTCTGGGAATTTGTGTCTCAGAACATCTTTTAATACATGTTTCATTCAATATCAATATCCTCTGGCATTAGAGCAGAAAATATTTAAAAATCCTAAATGCAGAAGGAATCCAAATGCTTAGACAACTGTCTAATATGCTTAAATCCAGCAGATATGAGAGCTTTTTTTGAAAGTTTAAGTCCATCTTTGAGCTTGCATTGAAAGAGAATATACGCCAAGCCCAATATTAACATGTTGTCAGCATCAGAGGAATTGCAAATTAAGAAGACTTAGGATTTTTTTTTTTCCCTTCCTTATTGGAGTTCCCCTTTGGACCCCCACTTTCCTGAAAGGATCGCATAACAAAATGGATTTCTGCCGTAGAAGTTTTGATCTAAAACTCTTATCACTAAGCAATAGGTGACAGCTTGCTACTATTATTTCACTTACGTATTTTGACAGATGGCACTGCAGAGTGTAATGCTCTTTTAGACTTCTCTATCAGTCTAATGGAGGTAACTGGAGGTTCTTTCAACTCTTCTCTTGGCACAAGAAGTATGTCAGTCATAAATTATCTTCTTTGTAATCATTAAGCATCTAAAACAAAATGCAAGTTCAGCTGAGCCGTTTTCCATGTACTTCCAGATAATAAGAGGTTTTTAAACTAATATTGTCAATGCCTTTTTTTTTTTTAAACGCTGCATTTTTCCAATCTAAAAATGAACCTTGTAACTGAAATAAAGGGAGAGGGTTTCAGTAGATTTCACGAATTAGAGAAAAAGGAATTCTGCTGAAAAACCCTAGCTAATCATCAGTAGCCTGCTGATAAAAATTAGTTCGAGTTTCCCGTCTCGAGGCCTGGAATGAGATGTTCTGTGCTGACGTGAGCCCGGCTGTAAGGTGGAAGAGGCACCTTGGCTGCAGCGCATCTGTCAACTTGGTTGACCTTCCCACCGTAAGGTGTGAACCGAGTGAAATTGTCAACAATTGTGTTTAGGAAAAACAGTCCTTAGAGGAGCTTCTGGGAAGAACCCTTAATTGACCTTGTGGGGACCACATTGATTTTCTCCACGTGCATCTTCATTTCTGATAAATTATAAAGCCATTAATTTGCTGAGGAAATGGCAGGGCCAGCCTGCGGCACAGATGTGACCAGAGCCGTCCTAGCACGCGGTTCACAAAAGAGAGCCAAGAAGCTGGGAGAAAAATCAGCAAGCCGAGATTGTTATGGTTAGCTTCACATTCCCTTGGGAACTCTTTTAGTTGCTTCTGTTTACAGATCTAAAAGGTAATGATGTTTCCAGGATAAATAGGCCGCCTTATAGGGTAAGTGGCCATTTATTGATCTGCTAGCCCACATTTATCGATTGGTTAGCCCCAAATACAGCTTCGTTCTCCGAGGAGTTAACTGTGTAAATCAGGAGGTGACAAGTTTGTGGTGGGGGGGACTGAGCGGCAGAGGGGCTCTGCCTGTTACAAATTTTGCTTTGATTTGCAAGGCAGCCACTGGAGCAAAGCAACAGCAGGATTAGAGAGTTACTCAAGATGTTAAAATTTATCAACACAAATTAAACAGGTGAAATGTATTGCCTGTATAAAACATTGCTTAAAATGATAAAGCGCCTCAGATTGTCTTACATGCATTAGTTTTATTTTGTGCAAGCGGCACAATGCTGAGAGAAAAAGAAACTTTAGCTGGAATTGTAAAGGAGAGGGAGAAAAAGCTTCCGATAAGTTTTCTGCGGCACATGCTCCGTGCATTTGTTTCCTTAGCAACAAGTGAACATACATATGGTACACAAGCCGTAAACTTGCAAGATTCCTGAGACCCAGCACCAAAACCGATAGGAAATACAGGGATTAACTTACATGGCCTCACATCCCTCGTTTAGCTATTTTACAGAAAATTACAGCACAGCAATTTAGATGTTAATATTTTCTCCTGTAGTCTGCGGAACTGTAGAGTATTTAAGGGGGCACTTTGCTAGCTCTGTACGTTCAGAAACAGCTTTCTCAAGAAAAGCATTTTCCTTCACTAATTCAATCCTACATGCAGGAAGGCTTGTCACCGAATCACTTGAAAAAGGCCAAGCTCATGTTCTTTTACACCCGGTACCCAAGTTCCAATATGCTGAAAACCTACTTCTCAGATGTAAAGGTAAGAAAATCTTTCTCTCCCCCGCCCCGCTCTCTCCTTACTGCATGCTATATTTGCTCATGAAATGGTATCATGTTATCATATTAGAGATTAATAATATTTCTGAGTGCACAAAGGTTACAGCTGACTTTATTCACTTGTTCTTCATGTTAAGGTGTACCCTGTTGTGCCTAGATGAGGAAGGCGGATGTTTTTAAATTAAGAATAAAAAATCATTGGAATTTTAGAGCAAAGTAAGAATAATTATTACAGTAAATTAAATAGTTTTCATTATACATATCCTATTTAAAAAGGAGATTTCTGTGGTGGTAGAAATGTACTTCCAAGAACATTTTGGAGCAGTTCTCAAGTGTTCCCTTATTGTTTCATTTCGGTTGGTTTCCTTGTATTTGTGCTTACATAAGCAGAGTGTAGAATCCCTTTCTTTCTGTCAAAAAGAAACAGTACATTGAAATTCTCCATGCAGAAGCTGCTTAAAAACAAAAGTGATGATTGTCTCTTATTTACAACTTAATTTGTTGTTGATGCAGAGTACACTGAGCATAAGGAGGATGAATAAAGTGACAGATTCAGGCCACATTATTCAAATGAGGATATGAAAGCTGTCGACATACAGCTGCATCCTCCCTCATTCTACAGAATATTAGGACCTCCTGATTTTTTTTCTAAAAGTAATTGTTCCTTTACATCAACTTGATTTTGTGTTAATCATCTAAGTTTTTTTTTAAAAAAAACATAGATTGGGTTTTAATGATTATAATGGCATACATGGTGTCATTATCTAAGTAACTTTATAAACATTACATTAGCTTAAATTAGTTTGTTACATTCTCCCGA